TAGAAAAAGTCTTTAAGATAATTGAGTTTTTAAAATATATGGGCTCTTTGCAATAAAAAGGAAGGAAACTATCAAAAAAATTTTTTTTGCTTGATAAGCTAAATATTATTTTTTTAATAAAATAAGTTCAGATTTAATATTAATTCAAAAAAAATTTTTTTGGTAGTTTCCTCCCTTTCTATTGCAAAAAGCCCATATAATTTGTTAACTTAGTTTTACTATAATTCTAATCTAACAATTTGATAATATCTATCAAAATAAAAACTTTTAAAGTTGTAATTTTTAATCAATTTAAATTTAAGCTTTATAATAAGAAAATTTGAGTAATAATAAATTAACTTGATAATAATAATACTTTATAACAATAATAAAATTAATTTTATATAATAACAGTAATATATATATTAAAAGAAATATTAAGTATAATAGTACAAAATGTTTTTCTGCATAGTTATTTATCGAAAATTAATAAAATAAATATATGCTTTCATTTAAAAGTATATAAATAAAGATATTTTTATTCTAGTAATAGAATAAGATTAGTTAAACTATATAAGAATACTAATATAAAAAGTGACAAAATTTTTAAAATATAGTATCATAATAAATATGCTTATATACTTGTAATATAACTATTATGATAAAAAATAGTATTATTTTGACAAAATATTTAAAAGTAAATTTTAAAAAAGATTTAAAAAAGAAAAAAATTGAAAAACTATTTTAATAGACTTTATTAAAGATAATAAAATACAAAAGTTAATAATATTTTTAAGAAATAATTCAGAATTATTATAAAAAGATGATAAATCTAAATGAATGTTAAATCAAATTATTTTAATAATAGTAAAACTTACTTGATAAAGTTTTAAGATTAAAAAGAAAGTAGTATATTATATTCTATAAATAATATAAAAATAGTGAAAGAAAATAATATGAAGCTTTAAAAAAGTAGTAATATTAAATCATTTATAATAATATTCATAAGTAGCAAAAGATTTAAATATTTAAAAGATAATCTATTTTTTATTAATCATTAGATTCTCTTAAATAAGTTGTTTAAATTTTTTTATTAAATCAAGTTATTGCAATATAAAATTTTATTATTTCTTTATAATTAATTGTTCTTATCTGAGTTAGATTACTTTGAATAAAATAACTAAAATTATTTTCATTCTTTTCTATATTATTTTTCCTGATTTTTATAGATAATTGTTTTTATTTTTTATTATTTTTTTTATTAGATTGCATAGGTTAGGTTTTCATTTTTTTCTTTGATTATTTTACTATAATTTTTCTTAAATCTAATTATAATAAAAAAAATTATATTATAAAATAATAGTAATATAAAATAAAGTATTTAATTTTCAAATAATAATATGATTCCTACTTGACTATTTAAAAATTAAAACCAACTTGTAAAAATAAAATAAATAATTAAATTCAAAATTGTATTTTAATATTAATGCATTTTTGGCTATCAATTGAGATTTTGCCTTCATCAAAACTTTTGCTATTTAATACTTTTACTAACTAATAAAACTTTTATAATTTTACCTTTAATAAAAAAATTTAGCAAAACATTTTGATGGATTTCAATTTTGATACCTATCAAAATCTTAGATTTTGCTTGACAAACTTAAAATATATTATTATATTTTTGATTTATTTTTTTAGCTAATACTTTAGAAAATTTTTAGTTAATTTATCTTTGATTTTCAAATATTAAAACTTATTATTATAAGTAAAATAAAAATAAAAGAAAATTCTTTATTGAAATTATAGTTATATTAAAATTCTATATTAGCAGAAAAAAGAAATTATGTTGCTATTGGTAAATTTTGATTTAATGTATATATATGAGAATAAATTTGCTATCCATTTTTTAGCTTGCATTTTCTTTTTAGTTTTAAGTTTATTTTTTTTATTTACAAAATCTTATTTGTGAATTATTAAAGTAAAATAAACATTTATTATATATATAATATATACTAAAAAAATAATTATATTTATTTTTTACACTTATATAAACTGTATTTATTTCTTATATTATATAATTAAATTCATAATTATGGCTAGTTCAAAGCTGATTTTAAAATTTTTAAAATAGATTGATTGAAAATTATGTAATTAAAAAAGTTTATATTCATAAAATTTTCTTTAATTTATAATATTAGTTTTAATTTTCCTATTATATAAATAATATATAATATATAATTTATCTTTTAATTAATTAGAATAGTAAATTTTACTTAGAATCAGAATATTCTAAAGTTTTATTTCACATATTATGCATTGTTATTATTTAATACTATTTGAGATTTATTATAAATTCTGTTATTTACTTCAAGAATAGTATTAAAAAAAGAATAAATAATATGATATAAAATATAATATTAATTTAAATTACTTTAATTTTATTGTAAAAATTCTTAAAACTTATTCAAACATTAATAAAGTATTTCTCTTTTCTGATTTTGTTATATTATCAATTAAATTAAATAAACTTAATAGTTTCAATTTTATAATTTGCAGATACAAGCAATAAATTCATAATTTTTTCTCTTGTTAAGCAATTTGACCTTTTTTATGATAGTCATAAAAATAGATAAAAAATGTTCAAATTTATCTTTTATCATTCTCTTTTTCTTTATTTTTTATTTTAAGTTAAATTAGTTTTTTTTCTTAAGCTAAGAATCAGATAGAATTTAAAATAGAATTATCTAATTTATTACTATAATAAAGATAAGCTAACTTTTTTTTAGTTTTTTCATTTTAGATTTAATTAATTTCCTATTTTAGATTAAGAACTGGATGGAATTTTTGAATAAAACTATCTAGTTTGTCATCATAGTAAAGATAAGTTGACTAAATTTTTTTGACTTATTATTTTTTTTTATATTTATTTAATTAATTGATTTATTTTTTTTTTTTTAGGTAATTTTAGGTTAGATTAGACTAGATCTTAATTAGTGATAAATACAGGTAACTAAAATTTATTTTATTATTATTTCACTATTATTTGATCAATTTTATTTTATTAAACTAGATCAATTCATTCTTTTGGCTAGAATTATTAATTTTTATTGCTGTAGCATAGATTTTTGACAAATTCTTTGATATTATTAGGATTTATTACTACTTTAAATATTAGTAATTGTAATTATTATAATTTTTTTTATTAATTTTTATTACATAATTAAATAATAAAAATTACAAAGAAACTTTCTTTATTTATTCATGTGATTCTTCTGCCCTAATTTTTTTTTGAAAAATCATATATAAACAAATTTTATTCTTATTAATATTGAAATTGATATTGATATTAATATTGATTATAAAAAATGGCATTCATAGTTCCTGTATATAGCTAACCAAATTTATGTCTATTCCTTTCTTTTTGGAATAGCCATAGCTAACACTATATAAAAGTGAAATCATTTGACACCAACAACTATATGATATATATAGTGTTAAATTCATTGTAAATCTTAGTGTTTTCAATTTTTAATTAAAATTGCGTCATGATAAAATAAATTTATTTTTGTAATACATATTGTTAGCTTGTTGGCTGGTAATATAAGAGATAATAATGCTGTTTATTACTATAAGTGCATTTGCCAATATAAATTTAAGGTCATGTATATAAAAATATAAAATATAATAATAAATAATCATATTTAATGAATATTAACTAATTACTTGACAAAAAATACAATTATACTTGCAACTTTGTTATATTTTAACTATCCCAGTTATCATAAACACTTTCACCTCACGTCATTTATTATTTCACCTGAAATAATTAATCTGCTCAAATTACCAATTCAAAATCAAAAAATTTTGTAAATTTATAAATAAATTTTTTTAATTTATTTTGTCTGAATTTGCTAAATTTTAAAGTTTATAATATTCAATAAAAAAAACACAAAAAATAAAAAATTTGAAAATTAAGAATGTGTAGATTTTTCTCCTCATTTAATGTTAAAAACTGATGATGTTTAATTATAACTATAATCACGCTTGAATTTCAATAAAATTTGTTTAAAAAAAACTTTGCTTAGCCTTCCTAGGACTTTTAATCGAATTAAGTAAGATCGATGATTGATTGTTTCAATCAATTTGTCAATCGCAGAATATTGCTATTGATCAAAATTAGACTAACTTTAATTGATTTTTAATTGATTAAATTTCTATGAATGATTGATTAACAATTATTATGTTTAATCGATTATGTTATTATGATATAATATGGTGTATAAATAAACAATAAACAAAACTAAATAATATCATTATTAAAAAAAAAAGAAAAAAAAATTCCTTTTAAAATTCAATGACATTCGTAAAATTTTTTATTTTTAAGACATAGCAACTGGTCTCTTAATATTGAAGCTTTTCAAATAAATAGTCATAGTTGTAGAATTATTCATTTTTTTCATCATAAAAATGCATTTTAAAGTATCAGAATTTTTATTTATAATTTTTAAATTTTTAAATAATATCAGATGATCATCATATTGCGTTTAATTTTAATGTGAAAAATTCAAATTTTTTTTAATATTCTTTTAAATGCCAGACCAGAATAGAAAACATAAATGTCAAACTAATATTATTTTGATCTGGTTAACTAAAAGAAATAATATTGTTAATGTATCTTCAGATATTAATCAGCAAGAACCTCAGTGAGTTGAACTTGAAAATAATAAAACAAGTTAGATGTGAAAGCATTTTGGAATTAAAACTGACAGACGTGCTTATTGCAGATAAAAAATATTAAAAAATGGAATAGAAGAAGAGTGTAATTATAGTTGCATATATAATACTCAAACTAGCACTTAACAGTATCATTTAAATTCTGTTTATAAAGAGTTTGAAAAAGAAAAATTGGTAAGATAACATTATCATTATGCATTTTTATTACAGATAGATATATATTAAATTAATATATTATTTTTACTTTTTAGAAACAATTAAAAATAGATGATCAAATAAAAAAAGTTATGCTACATAAAGAACCTAAGCAATGTGAATTAAGGAATGCTTTAGCTGATTGGTTAGTAACAGATTCTCAACCTTTTAATTCAGCAAATGGAGAAGGATTTTTACATATGATTAATAAGCTTGATCCTGCATTTAAGTCACCATGTTATGTAATGATCAAAAAAGATATTGGTTATAGATATCAAGTTGCATTTCAGGCTATAAAGGAAATGATTACTCATATTTGTGATACAGTAGCTATAACTACAGATCTTTGGACATCTCATGCAAAATCAGATTATATCAGAATTACATGTCATTGGCTTACAGAAAATATGGAATTATATGATATATTAATTTGTTTGCACCAATTAACCTCATAATGGTAATAATATCTGCCAAACTATTTTAACTAAACTTCAACTGCTTGGATTAGATAGTAAAGTAAATGTAGCAATTACAAACAATAGTAGTAACATGATTAAAGCTATCCATGAATGGAATGGTGTTAATCATATTCCATGCAGTGCACATATATTGCAGCTTTGTGTTATTAAAGGGTTAGAAAAAATTAAACTACATACCAAACAATTTAAGGAATTAATTTGATTTTTTAATTCTCCAAAACAAAATGAACGGTTAGAAGAGGCTCAGAAAGTAATTGCATCTAAATATGATATATAACTAGAAAATGATTTAATTTTATTTGATTTAACATCAATTGATCAACATCTATTAAAAATTTTGCAAACTATTAATGATGTGAAGACCCGATGGGGATCATCTTTAGCTTCTTGGAAAAGATTACAATTATTAAAAGATTCTATTAAATGGGTTCTTTTAAATTTATGTCTAAAGAATGAATTTAAAAAAGATTATGAAAAATTAAGAACGTGAATTCTTTTAGATTATAAATGGATTTTATTAAAAAATTAATTGTTCTTTTTAAACTAATTGAAGAAGCAACAGAATGGTTAGGTGGTCAAAAATATTGTACACTTTCTTTAATATATCCATCTATTTATGCATTATATTATGATTATA